TAGACGAACAACCATACACACGGACACATACACTCCTATGGGCAATTATCATGCTTTTTAAATGTGTTGAAAAAAAATGTATCATATTCTTATTTAAAACTATCTTATTTGAGTACATTTTAACAGTTTATCTGATATTTGTACTTAGAGCAAGAGGTAAATCAAACCAAGACAGTTTAATAGGCAGCATGAGGGGAGAGGTACTCGCACGCTGTATTAGGATTAGCATGATTGTCTCTGTGTGTGTGTGTGTGTGTGTGTGTGTGTGTGTGTGTGTGTGTGTGTGTGTTAACGATTTGTGACCTGACCACACTGATTTTCTCACTTTTGGGTTACAGTCCAACATGTGACCTTGATCAGAAGCAAGTGTGCAGCATGGATGTGATTTGTCAGTGGTGTGCTTTTCATTTGAAGCTGCAGCAACAGGGTGATCCAGTCACACCAACAATAACTTGGTACAGCTCCCTCATGGTGTAAAGAGAGTGAACAGTAAAGAGTGAGTGCAATCAACTAGCCTAGTTAAAATTGCACTGGATAATAAGTTTAAATCCTATGTGTTCAAATAGACCAAAAAAAAAAAGCTGACCATACAGTGCCTTGCGAAAGTATTCGGCCCCCTTGAACTTTGCGACCTTTTGCCACATTTCAGGCTTCAAACATAAAGATATAAAACTGTAATTTTTTGTGAAGAATCAACAACAAGTGGGACACAATCATGAAGTGGAACGAAATTTATTGGATATTTCAAACTTTTTTAACAAATAAAAAAACTGAAAAATTGGGCGTGCAAAATTATTCAACCCCCTTAAGTTAATACGTTGTAGCGCCACCTTTTGCTGCGATTACAGCTGTAAGTCACTTGGGGTATGTCTCTATCAGTTTTGCACATCGAGAGACTGAAATTTTTGCCCATGCCTCCTTGCAAAACAGCTCGAGCTCAGTGAGGTTGGATGGAGAGCGTTTGTGAACAGCAGTTGTCAGTTCTTTCCACAGATTCTCGATTGGATTCAGGTCTGGACTTTGACTTGGCCATTCTAACACCTGGATATGTTTATTTGTATTTATTAGTCATTTAGGTCAACATTGGATCATTCAGAGATCCTCACTGAACTTCTGGAGAGAGTTTGCTGCACTGAAAGTAAAGGGGCTGAATAATTTTGCACGCCCAATTTTTCAGTTTTTTATTTGTTAAAAAAGTTTGAAATATCCAATAAATTTCGTTCCACTTCATGATTGTGTCCCACTTGTTGTTGATTCTTCACAAAAAAATTACAGTTTTATATCTTTATGTTGTAAGCCTGAAATGTGGCAAAAGGTCGCAAAGTTCAAGGGGGCCGAATACTTTCGCAAGGCACTGTAAATACCTGGATGCAATCAAATTTCCTTCAGTTACAGACAAGACTGAAGTTATTGCTTTTGGTAGCAAGAACGAAAGGACCGAAGTTATTGATCAGCTTGATTGTAGAACTATGAAGACAAAAACTCAAGTTACAAATCTTACACACTCTTGTGTGTTACAGCCTGCTCAGTGTTTTATAACTAAGGTGTCACTTTATTTTTAAGCTCATTTAATAAGACAAGTTGAACCAGAACAGACTCATTTGGAGCAGCATAGAAACACATACAGTACACACATGGATCACTGTGTAGAGCTATGGGCAGCTTCTGCACAACTTCTATAATTAATTAAAGTCCCACTCCAGAAACATTTTCATTTTTATATTTGTATATAAAAATACTTTACTATAAACAATATGCAGTCTAACACAGCTTTTCCTCAAAAAAATTTCAGTGGGCCTCTGTAATAGGAATGAACATTGCCCCTCATTGTGCATTCCAGGATCTATGAATGTTGCCGTCATCCCTTATGTGGATTTGAATAATTTTGCACGCCCAATTTTTCAGTTTTTTATTTGTTAAAAAAGTTTGAAATATCCAATAAATTTCGTTCCACTTCATGATTGTGTCCCACTTGTTGTTGATTGTTCACAAAAATTACAGTTTTATATCTTTGTTTGAAGCCTGAAATGTGGCAAAAGGTCGCAAAGTTCAAGGGGGCCGAATACTTTCGCAAGGCACTGTAAATGTCAAAAATGACATTTGATTTCATGAAAATGTTATTGATATACATACCTCAGTGTGATAGCTGCATTGTGTCCCTCAATTACCATAAAATTCTGACCCTTTGATGTGTATCTGTTGAATGCATGATGAATATTATGTATATGACTATTTCTACACATGTATTTTTGATAATAATAATTTTACTGTGTAATCTGCACTTTTATGACTTTCCTCACCAGATTGTATGTTAAATGTTTTCAGTAAAAAAAAAATTTAATCTGCTAGTTTGGTCTTTACCCTGAAACCATATGCTTTTTGTGGCGCTAAAGACAAGTGTCTAATTAAAGGAAAAACCAGCATAAAGTGTCTCAGTAAGGTGTTGGGCCACCGTGTCCTTCTAGAACAGCTTCAGTGCACCTTGGCATTGATTCTCCAAATTTCTGAACTCTACTGGAATTATGAACACCGTTCTTTCAAAAGATATTCCCGTGTGGTGTTTTGATGATGGTGATGATACAGTCTAGCACATTACCAAAATCTCCCATAGGTGTTCAACTGGTTTGAGATATGGTGACTGCGAAGACCACAGCATGAGTCACATCATTTTCATATCATCAAACCAGTGACCCCTCCTGTCTTGTGAATGGGGCCACTGTCATCTTGGAGGAGAGCACTAAGTTATTCAGGTTTTTCCTTTAATTTGTCACCATCTGTTACCTTGCAATTGAATACTAGCTAGATATTCAGGCAGGATGGCCAGTGTTATCATGACAAGAATATTGGAAAATGAAGACATAAGAGACTCAGCTGCTGGTTTAGTAAACAAATAGTCATTAGTGCTGACGTAAATAACAGGTACAGTGGCATTACAAACCCTCCTGGAACATATATGAACACTGGTGTTTCACATGTGGAACCATCTTTGTGCTTTATTTATACTGACATACTACGAGGCATTACTACAGTTTAGGCACTTGGAAAAACACTTTCATCACTCCTTTATTAATCAGAATGTGAGTTGCAATGGCTGTGGGTAAGGACAGTAACTTTCTCACCATTCAGTACTCTCAACAGCCAAAATCAGTCTAGGTGACTGCTTGGTTGTCTGTGTTTGACTCTGAGGACAAACTTTCCCGTCGCCTCCAGCTTATATGTTTGTCTTGTCGGTCCATCTGCTGACACCGCTTCTACGTTCATGTGTGCCAAGTCTACTCTCAGCCCTTCTCCCTGAGCCTTTGGGCTCATTTAGCGCATCCCTGACACTGAGGCACAGTGGCACTACTTCCATTTAAATGAGGGATCAGTCTGAGGTTTCCTCCAAATGGACAATGAACAGTCAAGACTGTCATGGGAGTTCCAATGACTGTCTTCCATTCACTGACTGTTGCTGCTTTGTTCAGCTGTCCCCTCACTAAGAGCTTGCAGGATAACAAGCTTATTAGTGCATCACCCTGGACTATTACATTATATAAAACTATTTAAAAAGTCACCATGTATGTTTATTTCAGTGCAAGACATCTGACAATCTTATACTCTATATTCAGAAAGAATCATATAGTAATAGCAGTTGAATTCAAACATTTGGGTGACTTTTCTCAGTTCTTTATTTTAACGCAACTATCACCCAAAGGTGCAAGTTGCACCCAATAGACCTGAAGCTTGAGACACCAGGGTATGGCTACTATACTATACTATACTATGCTATGCCGTGCCGTGCCGTGCCGTTGCAGCGCTGCGCACCGCAGCACGCCACAGCATTCAGCTAAAAGACTACTGGAATAGTTTGGGACAGCTAATCCAGTGTTCTCCAGAGGGACTGTTAAAACCTGGACTATAAAGATACAGTAGACAAAAAATTTGAGAATATGCCTAAAACAATCAGTGTTATGCCAGTCTTTTGTGGTTCTACAAAGTACCAAGCCCCAATTTGGAACTGATGTGTCAGTGACCTAAACATTAGCAAAGTGGTTTTAAGAGCATGTCATCCAGGGTTGCAGGATGTAGGTAACATAAAATTAAACCCAAAACACTTAATACAGTCTTTCTTCTTCAGTACATAGAGCTTCCTTTTATGCCGAGTTAGTGCAGTATAACATGTGGTCAGTGCCAGAGGTAGACTGATTGAGTTGGTCTAACTAAAAGCCTTTTAGTGGACCGTCATCTGTTAGCCACCATTATCTAGCTCTGTGTAAACATTGGCTGACAGCAGAAGGATTTTCTGCAACTCAGAGATGGAACATGGTTTAAGCATTCAAACCATTTCTCACTTAAAAACAACCAGAACACTGATACTCTGTCAGAAACGGCGCGCGTAATGCAGCCAAAAAGTGTTTAGGTGAACTCAATTAAATGGCCAGACGAGGAAGTGTAAAACAAAACCGTCTCTTTAATAAGAGAACTAACAATAACAAAAACCCATACAAGACACGGTGCAAACACAAAAACTCACGGTCGGTATCGGTCCCAGGTCAGAGCCAGCAAACACGTACATCCAGGGGAATCCAAAGTGCGTAGTCCGAAGGGAAAGTCCGATACGCCGATACACATAAGCAGTCCGAGATAAGAGGGCAAGGCAGAACAGAGTAATCCAATGAAACAGTCTGAGTCAGAAACACAAATACCAAAAACCGAATATAGTGCTGGAAAGTCAGAGCTGGGGTCTAGAACAATCTGGCAGCGTCTTTGTGGGAGGACGCTGCCTAAATAGAGGTGTAAACAGGTGCACATAATAACGAAGCAGGTGAAACTAATGTGAGTGATGAAGAACGTAAAAAGAGCGAAACTAAGGTGAAGCAAAAACAGGAAATAATGTCAAAATAAAAGCCAGACAGGAAGCAGCGGACCCGAATCATGACATACTCTTGTGCATCCTGGTGTTTAAGAAAAGCCAGCAGTCGGTAAACTCTGGATCTGTTTTTGTTGTGCTTGTTTTTCAGAATGGCACCGACTATAGGTTTCTGGTGCATCAGAACTGTGAACTCTTGCAAGCACTCGATGAACTGGAGAAGACCTGCATCACACTGAGGGAGGAGAATGGCCTGCTGGTAAGACTAAAACATTGTTTCAGTTAGCTGCTGTAACTTGCTCCAGTTCAAAAATCATCTGAATTTCTACTGGTGACTCTGGCAGATGATACAAAACCAGGAAGTATGTTACTATTCAGCCTATTAATACGCCTTCCTGAATAACTGTTTGTGTGACTTTCTTGTTTGGCATGGCTGTGTTAGCATTTGCTGCAGGCATTGTCTGGTGATAATGTTTGTTTCTTGCATGTTTAGCGGAAGAGCAGCATTCCAGAGACTGGGGAGAAGGTCAGGCAGCTGAGGAGAAAAAATACAGAGCTGGCTGTTCTCGCTAAGAGGCTGGAGGAGAGAGCTCGAAAACTGCAGGAGGCCAACCTCAAAGTGGTATTCCAGACAAAAACCCTATAAGATTTTCACAGCAAACTGCTGAGCCTATTTGCCCCCACTCTGACTCAGATATTAAGGGCCTCACCACCAAATGGCTGGTAATGAGTTGAATGGAGTACTGTAGTTGAGCATGCGATGAGTTGCTGAAAAATACCAGCACCCTATTTAATAATTTAATCCATAGCTACAAGAATGGCCACAAGAGCTCAGTCTGAGTTCACAAAGTCTCTTTTATAAAAGAGATGTGACAAAAAAAAGAACAAACATAAAACACACCTGAGCTTCCACACAGTGGTTGAGGATGAACCACTTCTTGAATTCAGTATCTTAAAACCTGGTGTGATGGCGGCACCCACATGGGCATTGTGTTGTTTGTGGTTGTCTTGTTTTACAACATCCCTTGCTAGTCTGCACACTGCATAGACATAAAAATAGACTTCGATTTTTCAGATCACAGGATGAAAAGTGCAATCAATATAGATCTGGTAATAACACTGGTTAAATCTATGTGTGTATGCAGCAGCTTGTTAGATAGATGGTTAGGTAAACTACCTAACCTGCATTTCTCTGGACTGTGGGAGGAATCCAGAGTACTGGGAGGAAAGCCACATAGGCATAATGTTAAACAGTGTAGTTCATGTAAGCATTTAAGATAATCTGATAAGTCTAAGTCTTTTTAAAAGCCTTTCCTAATAACTTTTACTATTCATTTTATGAGCTGCAAAGAAGATTGTATTCCAGACTTCTTCTCTGTAATTCTTTTGCTGATTAATACAAGTTTCCTTCTTGCTCTTGTGCAGGTAAATTCCCCATCACTGATGAGAGCCGGGTCAGTGGAGCAGTACAAGAGGGCGTTTGCCCATCAGCGAGCTCGGGACCTTGCTCGGCATGCCGATGCACTGTTGTCGAAAGACAAAGAGATTGCTGCCCTACAGCAGGAGTGCAGAGAGCTGGAGGCACGACTGGGCACCGTTAAGGTATTCATAACACATCTCCTCAGTAGCTAGTTTATTCAACCAACATTGTGGTCACAAATCTGGACTTGGCTCACTTTTAACTGAAAAACTGGTTAAGTTTAGGCCACTGCCCTTCTTAACATACAGTATCTCTGATCTTCATTAATCTTACAAGATTTTGCTCCTAGTCATTATCCCTCCACAGGTTCATAATGCCACAAGCTCCCTTCCTGCTGGACAACTTGGGTACTAGAATAGAATAGAATAGACTTTATTGTCATTGTGTGGATGCTGTGGGAAAAATTTTCACATCTTAATAACTTCAGCATACCTACAGCTAAAAACACCATTTCAACTGTTAACCCATCAGCAACTCTTCAGCTATTCATACCGTAAACAGCTTTTTGATAACCTATGGTTTTTTGCATAATTGCTGTTTACATTATATGCCTCATTTCAATATCCACACCCTAGTAGTCCTCAGGGTGTAGGACCTCTCTCTCTCTCTCTCTCTCTCTCTCTCTCTCTCTCTCTCTCTCTCTCTCTCTCTCTCTCTCTCTCTCTCTCTCTCTCTCTCTCTCTCTCACACACACACACACACACACACACACACACACATATACCTACTTGTTTTACCTACTTTGTGGGGGCCATTGGGAAAATATTCACAGCTTAATAAATTCAGCATACTTTCAGCTACAAAAGCCATCCAGGTATCAAAATGCTCAGCTCGTCAGGGGCATTCCTACAATATTCATCTTTTTTCAGCAAATTTTGCCCCATTCAAATGAATGGGCACAACTTGAGTTAAGCATACCTTCAGCTAATAACTGTTAACTATTCAGCAACTCTTCAGCTATTCATACTGTAAACTGCTTTTTTATATCTTTTATGGTTTTTTGCATAATTGCTGTTTACATTTACTATCGTGTCCAGTTTTCATCATGTCTGCATAGGAAACCTGAGACACATCACTTGGATTTGTGTGCTTTACCTTTTAGCCATGACAAGTGCCTGCTTCATCATTGTGACATACTCTTTTTACTACAGTATGTCAGCTGTAGGACCTAAGCGTCCTGCATGTTCATTTCTGAGGAAGAGTCAAAGTCAGAAGAACCTTTAAAATATTTATTACAACCTCGATGAAGAAAAGCAATTACAGAGCTCTGGATTCCGTTTCTATCTGAAGCCCTATCACACAGAGAAGTCAGTGCATAGCTGCTGCAGGAAGCCGGAACCACGAGTTTCCTCTGCATAGAGAATTTATAATAAGAGTCATGCAAATGATCTGATGTCATCCGCATTGTCCT